TACCCTCATAGTGCTGTGCTCCTCCCAGCTGATTTGCTGCTGAAGCCTTCATTCCTGTCTTTGGCACCTCTAGAATTGAGTGCTGCAATATATTCCTGGCCAGCCTCCCATCCACAGTGTATTGAGATCACCCAAAGCTCTGTTGTACTTTTTCTTATTGGCATCAAGATCCACTATTGCTCGCTAGTCAATATTGGCTCTATCCACCACTATAATTTTAAAAGGATCATTCATATTTCCAAAGTCCTCACTGGTCACATCTCTCCTTATTTCTGTAATCTTTCCAGACCCCAATGCCAAAATCAGGGCAGATGGTAGTCTGTGGTAAATTTTTTTCTTTATTCATTCACGGGATGAGGGCATCGCTGACCAGGCAGCATTTATGGCCCAGAGTCAACCACATTGCTGTGGGTCTGGAGTCATGTTTTGGCCAGACCAGGTAAGGATGGCAGTTTCCTTCCCTAAAGGACATTAGTGTCACTTGATCAGCAATCCAGATGCCCAGTGTAATCCCCCTGTGGACAGGGGTTCAAGTACTAGTGTGATAGTTTGTGGATTGTAGGTTAATAAAAAAATAAATCTGGAAAAGCCATGAAACTATCATCAGTTATGGTGGAAATCCATCTTGTTAACTAATGCTGTTTAGAACATAAGAGCTAGGAGCACGAACAGGCCATTCAGTCCCTCGAGCCTGCTCCTTCATTTGATATGATCATGGCTGATCTCATCTCAGCCTCAACTCCACTTTCATGCCCACTCTCCATAACTCTTTAACCTGTTACTCATTCAAAATCTGTCTATCTCTTCCTCAAATTTACTCAATGTCTCGATATCCACCACACTCTGGAGTAGTGAATTCTATAGGTTCACAACCCTTTAGAGAAGCAGTTCCTCCACATCTCTGTTTTAAATCTGCTACCCCTTATCCCAAAATGATGACCTCTCAATCTAGATTCTCCCACTTGAGAAAAACGTCTTGTCTGAGACTACCCTCTCAATCCCCCTTAGCACCTTACATCTCTCAACTATATCTCCTCTCATTCTTTAGGGAAGGAAAACTGTTACCCTGACCCAATTGGGTCTAAATGTGAGTCCAGACCAATTAGAATTTAACTGTTTTCTGAGATGGCCAAGGAAAACACTCAGATGAAGAGAATTTAGGGCTGGGCAAAAGCATGCTCACATCTATCTATGAAGAGAGGTTGAGTAGGTTAGGATTATTTACATTAGAAAGACGAAGGTTGAGGGGGGACCTGACTGAGGTCTACAAAATCATGAGATGTATAGACAGAGTGGATAGCAAGAAGCTTTTTCCCAAAGTGGGGGACTCAATTACTAGGGGTCACGATTTCAAGGTGAGAGGGGAAAAGTTTAAGGGAGATATGCGTGGAAAGTTCTTTACGCAGATGTTGGTGGGTGCCTGGAACGCGTGGCCAGCAGAGGTGGTAGAGGTGGGCACGATAGTGTCAGTTAAGATGTATCTAGACAGATACATGAATGGGCAGGGAGCAGAGGGATACAGATCTTGGAAAATAGGCGACAGGTTTAGATAGACGATCTGGATCGGCGCAGGCTTGGTGGGCAGAAGGGCTTGTTCCTGTGCTGTAATTTTCTTTGTTCTTTGTAATAAGAAAGGCAAATTCTCGCCTCTTCGGCATGACAGATTTTAATGATTATTTCGTCAGCTGCATAGGCCGTAAGCTCTGGAATTCCTGCCCTAAACCGCTGGACTTTTTTTTTTCTTCCTTTAAGATGCTGCTTAAAACCTAATACTTTGCCAGGCGTTTTGCTCATCTGTCTGAATATGGCCCCTGTGCTGCTCTTATTGGAGACTGGAATGTGGAGTTGAAGACACAGTCAGGTCAGTTTTCACAGGACAGGCCAGAGACGCTGATTGGCATACACCTACTCCTAATTCTTGTGTTTATGCATATTCTGCTGTGAAGACACGCTGTGAAAGATATTATGGAAATGGGAGGGAATAATACAGTGGTGTTATCACTGGATGGTAATCCAACATCCCTCGGGCTAATAGTATGGGGACATGGGTTCAAATCTCCTCCTAGCAGATGGTGGAATTTTAATTCAAAAGCGTAAAAAAAATAAAAACCTGCCTTAATGACAAGCATTGTCGACACTGTTTAAAAACCTACCTGTTTCACTAAAGGAAATCTGCTGCCTTTACCTGGTCTGGACTGGTTTACACATGACTCCAGGCCCACAGCAATGTGACTGACACTTAATTACTCTCTCCCCAGATGGGGATGAACAGTAAATTGCCTCATCAGCAGCATGCATGTCCCACGAATAAGTAGGTGTATGTTGTTGGACAAATTAGCCAGAATTTTCTATCAAAGGCATGACTCTCAACGACTGGTTTGTGGGATTGGCTCATATTCATGGGAACTGTCTAATTCCCTTAGCCCAGGGATGATGCCCCAGTTCCTAAAGAGAGTGTTTGGTATCTTCAGTGAAGAAGTTGGATTCTCGATGGGATATTGGGATGTTCAGACATTGCAATTAGTGGAGTTGGATTGCCACACTGGCAACAAGCTCAGAGGTAACATCTTATTCAATACCTTGGTATCAAGACTTGCCATTATTGGTCAGTGCATTGAGTATCATCAAGGGCCTGCATCTTTCCTCTAAGTGCCCTGTCTAAGTTGCAACACAGTGAGGAATATAGATCATCATAGAATCCCTACATTGTGGAAACAGGCCCTTTTGGCCCAACAAGTCCACACTGACCCTCAGAGCATCCCACCCAGACCCATTCCCCGATAACTCACCTAATCGACACATCCCTGAACACTACGGGCAATTTAGCATGGCCAATCCACCCTAACCTGCACATCTTTGGACTGTGGGACAAAACCAGAGCACCCGGAGGAAACCCATGCAGACACGGGGAGAATGTGCAAACTCCTCACAGACAGTCACCCGAGCGTGGAATCGAACCACACTTAATGGTAAGGCCCTGGGGATGTTGTCAAACAAAGAGACCTTGGGGTGCAGGCTCATCGTTCCTTGAAGGTGGACTCACAGGTAGACAGGGTAGTGAAGAAAGCATTTGGTATGCTTGCCTTCATTGGTCAGTGCGTTGAGTATAGCAGTTGGGAGGTCATGTTATAGCTATACAGGACATTGATTAGGCCACTTTTGGAATACTGTGTTCAATTCTGGTCTCCCTGCTATAGGAAGGATGTTGTTAAACTTGAGAGCGTTCAGAAAAGATTTACAATGATGCTGTCAGGGTTGGAGGGCTTGAGCTACAGGGAGAGGCTGAATAGGCTGGGGCTATTTTCCCTGGAACGTCAGAGGCTGAGCGGTGACCTTATAGAAGTTTATAGCATCATGAGGGGCATGGATAGGATGAATAGCCAAAGTCTTCTCCCCAGAATAGGGGAACCTAAAACTAGAGGGCATAGGTTTAAGGTGAGAGGGGAAGGATTTAAAAGGGACCTAAGGGGCAACTTATTCACACAGAGGGTGGTGCGTTTATGGAATGAGCTGCCAGAGGAAGTGGTGAAGGCTGGTACAATTACAATATTTAAAAAGCATCTGGATGGGTATATGAATAGGAAGGGTTTAGAGGGATATGGGCCAAATGCTGGCAAATGGGGCAAGATTAATTCAAGATATCTGGTCGGCATGGACAAGTTGGACCGAAGGATCTGTTTCCATGCTGTACATCTCTATAACTCTACAACTCAGTGATATACAATAATTTTGAGGTGGACTAGATTAGCACAGAAAGTACGGTTTGATCAAGATTAAAAGATTTTTAAAAAAAAGCACCTTTCACAACCTCAGGATGTCCCTAAGTACTTTATAGCCTATGAGCTGCTTTTGAAGCAAGGTCACTGTTGTAATATCGGAAGTACAGCAAGGTCCCACAAACAGTGACGAGATAAATAACCACATCATCGCTTCTAATTACTAACTGGGAGACAAAAGTTTGCTAGGACACCAGGGAGATCTCTTCAGCTCTCCTTTAAGATAATTCTGTGAGACTGTCTACATAAAGGCTAGGAATCCTATCGTGAGTAACTCACCTCCTGACTTCCCAAAGCCTCCCCACCATCTACAAGGCACAAGTTAGGAGTGTGATGGAATACTCCCCACTTGCCTGGATGAGTGCAGCCCCAACAACACTCAAGAAGCTTGACACCATCCAGGACAAAGTAGCCCACTGGATTAGCACTACATCCACAAGCATTCGTTCCCTTCATCCCTGATGCTCAGTAGCAGCAGTGTGTACTATCTACAAGATGCACTGCAGAAATTCACCAAAGATCCTCAGACAGCACCTTCCAAATCCACGACCACTTGCATCTAGAAGGACAAGGGGAGCAGATACATGGGAACACCACCACCTCCAAATTCCCCTCCAAGTCACTCACCATCCCTTCTTGGAAATATATCACCGTTCTTTCACTGTCACTGGATCAAAATCTTGGAATTCCTTCCCTAAGGGCATTGTGGATCAACCTACAGCAGGAGGACTGCAGCGGTTCAAGAAGGCAGCTCACCCCCACCTTCTCAAGGGGCAACTAGGGACGGGCAATCTCAGAATGTAATATACTGATATGCAGTCATTTCTCATTTTTCTAAACTCCAAATGATCTAGGGCCAGTCTCCGAAAATAATGCAAGGAATCAGCTGGATGTTGTAGATATTTCCCTACTCAACCTGCTCAGAGACCTTACTACAGAACTATTTTAGTGCAAGCTTTTAAATTGGTGGTTTTGCCGAGATGAAGTGGCGGGGTGGTGGGAGAGTTCTGTCTGTTTGCAGTAGTCAAGGAAGGTCACTGGATTATAAGGGTTAAAAACATCGAGCTTTAAAAGAGTTAGCACACGTACAAGGGGGCCGAGTGGTCACCTTCTGAGCAATGAGGTTGAATGATTGTGTTCTCTGGCCAGCAATCCCCGCCCCGTTCATGTAGTTTTTGCAAACTCTGAGGCAGAGAGAGAGAGAGAGGGCAGTGATAACTTTGCCTGTATTTTCTGGCTGCAGTGCTGGGTTTTTGAGTGCAGAGATTGCAATGCAGTTCCACCGTCCCCCCGGCGTTGAAAGCTTTCTCCGGGCCCCCAGCCCCATCCAACAGCCCACCCGCTTCTACATCGAGGATATTTTGAGCCGGGACGCCGCCGGGGGCTCACGGAGCCGGGCCGCCTCCCTCAGCCCGTTCCAGGCTGTGGTACCGCCGCCTCCGCCACTGCCGCTCGCCAGCTTCAGGGCAGGAGTGTACCAGCGGCATGGCGAGGCCGCTCTGCCACTTCATCTGTACCGGGCACCGGTTTTCCCACAACATCTGGCTCCCATCTACCAACCGACTGCTGCCGAGTACCAGCAGCCCATCTACAGACCTCTCCCCCTGGGTAAGAGACTGCTGCTGGAGCGGGGCCGAGGGAAGAGAACACAGGGCAGGGGGAGAGAGAGAGAGAGAGAAATACCAGGAGAGAGGGAACACAGGGGAGAGAGAGAGAGAACATAGGAGAGAGAGAGAGAAAACACGGGAGAAAGAGAGAGAAATACAGGAGAGA